ACATGCACACACACAGGTTTGTTTATATATATATGTATTTATATATACATAATACCAGCTGATCTTTACATTGTGGAAAGTTTCATGATGCATAGAAGAGTTGCATGATGCATGGACCTCCATTTAGAGTTAAAAAGGTTTTTTTCATTTCCTTTAAAGTTATCATTTTGCAGATAAGGTTTTAATGTGACCATGATGGCTAACCTATGGCTAACTTTTTTTTTAGCTTAAAAAGGTAAATTCATCTGGCTTTGATTAACTTTAGATTTTACTTTACTTCAAATAATAAGCTGATAGAATGTAACAAACATTATTCATTATTAGAAGTTCAATTAACCTTTGATTTTCCTAATCAAAAAAAGGTCCAGAAACTGTAAGACCCACCCCCCCCCACCCCAACATACAAACTGGACTAATCACTTGGCACCTGTGTGTAAAGCTTACCCCCCACTCATACTCATCAAATGAGGAAATACTAAGCAGATAACCTCAAGCCCCTCTGAGGCTCATTAGACAGATAACCTCCCCATAAAGTCCTCCTTCTGATGCCACTCTCCCTCTCTTTCAAAGCCAACATTTCACTCTTCAGTCAATCTTCTGCAGCAACTGAAGAGCACAGAGTTTCTATTAAAAAACACAGCTTCAGCTCTACAGAACACTGATTCTTAGTGATACTGGTGTTTTGTTCAACCTTCCAAATAAACTTTGCCTTGCCTGGATGGTCAGCCGTGGCAAATCTCTTGAACAATATCATAGAAAATTAATTTTGCCTTGATTGTGTTAAAATGTTTTATTTTTTTCCTCCATGGTCAATGACTGACAGTGTTTGTTGTGCCTAAATTAAGAATAACTTTTTTTTTCTCTCTAGTACTCTTAGTGTTCCACTGCTGATATCATATTTGTTTATTTGCGCGGACATCCCTGCCCTATGCACACACACATTCTCTCTCTCTCTGTCTGTTTGTGTGCACGTCTTTCTCTCCTCAGGAAAAACATCCCTCTTTCATTAAAGAGAGTCACCGAGGCCAGGAAGATAAACAGAGAGTCTGTAATCAAAAAGCAACCTGAGACCGACCAATCAGAGCAGAGTATGTGCTTCATTTCAACTTCAAAACCTTGCTATTGATCAAGTTTTGCAAATTTACAAAGAACCATGTTCTAAAATAAGAAATAGCATAAGCCAAAGCTTCGTTGCTTCTGAGAATCGTACGTAATTTACAGATGGGAAGGGAGTCACCACAAATTCCATGACAACCACAAATCCTGTGTGTGTATTTAAATGGAAAAGAGATACTGACGAGAAAGAAGTCAATCAGGGGATGGTTTGCTCAAAATGCCATAACACGAACATCACTATGGTGAAGGGAATATCAGTCTGAAGAGAAATGGCTCTAAATTTTAAGATGATCATTGTAGCAGTTATTCAGAAAAGATCTGATCTGTAAGTTTTTTCTTCCACGCTACAACACTGATGGGTCTTATTGGGCCACATAGAAACCTTCCATGTTTACATTAGCAAATCATTTTGATGTTAACTGTCAACACAGTAAAATAAGGTGGGCTGTTAAGGGCCATGCTTTCTTTATTATAGGCCTAGTGTCGTTTCTATCTATTACTTGCTGTGTGGTTGTTGTCTTGTGTTAGACCTTGCCTGTTGTGTTCTGGTGCACAAGTTTATTATTCTGCTGTGGGCAAAAAAGATGAGTCAGACTAACTTGGAACTAGAAACTGAAACTGAAGTCTTCTGTTTCAAACATCAAAATTACATTGAATTTAGTCATTCGAAACATAGAACTAGCACCAGTTCCAAATTTGTATGCATGCTTCCAAAGAGTATGCTATGACTAACCAGCAAGGTTCCATAGCTTATGGATTTTTCACTTTCGTTTGGGCAAAAGAAGTTTGCTTTCAATTTTTTTGGGGACCCAAATATGACAGTCAGATTTAAGAAATTTGCCCATCTTTTAAAAAGTTATCACCATCTAATAGCTTGTCTTAATAGAGATGTCGGTACCTGACATTTTACAATTAAACGGTTGTGTATGTTCCTTGAAATACATATCTAGATCATAAAATCAGTAAGAGATCTCTGTATATTGGCATAGTTTGACGAAGATCACTGAAACTTTCTGAAATAATGATCATTTTCACCATGAGCCAAAAAGTTTTGATAAAAGCTGTATCAGCGAAGTTATTTTATCAGAATCAGTTTAGAATTTTACATCAATGCTTGTTTTCAAATTACACTGAATAATAGTTACGCTATTTATATTTTAAAATTATGCTAATTATGAAATCCAGTATGCTATGGGTATACGCCATAGGTTATACTTCCTTCGGTATACGCCAAGGAATCTAAGTAAAAATAAAAGTTTCGACTGTACAACATGGCATTTAAAATATAGCACACTGTATTAGCGGGAGAATATGTAATATGTGTACACATGGATTTTGCTCTTCTGGATCTTTATGTATTGTAAGTTAGGCCGGAGAAAAAATCTAGACCGTCTGGGGGTCTCTGAGGACCAGTTTGAGAACCACTGCTATAGGGCACCAGCATTTCATACGGGGCCTTAAAGGGCACACACACACTCTGAGGGAACACAGGCAGAAAGATAACTTCTGGTGATAAGAGAAAAGTAAGTCAGTTGCTTTGTAGAGCACAAATGTGTTGGATTATGCGGCTTGCGGGTGGATGAGGGGTAAAGGGTTTCAGTTACCACAAATCCTATGTGTGTGGGTGTATGTGTGTGTCGATGCACCTTACACTAATCTGTGATGTGAATGACTGCAAAGCTGGACTTGCAAAGCTGTATAACCTCATCTCCTGGAAGTGGTTACCTAACAGCAGAAGAATCTTGACACTGTCACATTGGCTAGAGAGAATAATATACTGTGCATCACATATGTGCTGTAGTCAGAGAAATTTGGCTTGTTACAATTGCCACACATTACCATGTTTTTAGGGTATCCATCGAAATTATACACTGACCAACCACTTCATTATGTACACTGACCTTGTATCTACACTTTTTGTCCATTTTATCAGCTCCACTTTACGTGTAGGTGCATTTTGTACTTCTACAATTACAAACTGTAGTCCATCTGTTTCTCTGCATACTTTGTTTACCTTTACTGCTGTGCCTGATCCACTCGTACTAGCACAAGACACACTAACAGACCACCACCACACCAGTATCACTACAGTGCTGAGAACGATCCACCAGCCAAAAATTACCTGCTCTGTGGGAATCCTGACCATTGAAGTACAGTGTGAAAGGGGGCTAACAAAGTATCCAGAGAAACAGATTAACTTGTAATTGTAAAACTACAAGGTGGAGCTGATAAAATGGACAAAGAGTGTAGCTACATGGAGATGTATTTAATAAAGTGGCTGGTCAGTAGCAAATTACTTTACTATTTGTAATAAAATGCACAACAAACAAATAATAGCCTAAAAGGAATAATATAAAAATCACTAAGCTGAATAAATAAAAAATGAAAATGCTGAAACAAACTATGTATTGAGCATACACTTAAGTTTATTCCTCTTATATTTTAAAATGAATGCCCTTTTTTTTGCTGTGCGAACATAAAAAGGTCCCTGAAGGGCAGGCAAATTTTGGCTGCATCCATACATTTACAAAAAGATTTTAAAAACATCAGCCTGATTGCACAGTGCTGCTGTTTCTAATCACAGAACATTTTGTGCCTGACGCTTTCAGTTTATGTGATACAACAACACTAGTGGATCTGTCTGGCTTTAAAGTAACATTTAAGTTACATTAGCTTAAATTTAGTTTAGTTTAAATTTTAAATGCACAAGACTATGAAGTACAGTATGCTTATTTATCATTTATAAAGATATGCCATAACAAAAAACACAATGGGCCAGTTTCATAAAAGGCATTGCCAGATTTACAGTGGAGTTAAGAGCAAATAGCACTGCGCTAACACATATGCTCATTCATCAACAAAAATGGTATAAATTCATAACATGACACATTCCTGCCATCCAGATGATGTCTTTTTAAGGAAGGGCTTAATTAATTCAACAAGACAACAGGAAACCACATTCTGCATGTATTAAAATAACTCCACAGTAAAAGAGTCCAGGTGCTAAACTTGTCTGCCTGCAGTCCAGAAAAATTATGGATAATAAGGAGACCCTGAACAGTTGTGTAGCTAATATTGTGTTTTAAGCAAGAAAAACTATACAACACAGTTGTAAACATGGCCCCTGGCATCTTTTCAAAAAAACAATAAAAGCTCAACAATTCTCAGCTTTAACATTTGATATGCTGTCTTTGTACTATTTTCAATTAAATATAGGGTTAAATGATTTGCAGATTATCATATTTATAACAATGATAACAGAAAAATGATAACAGTAATACAATTACAGTGAATGAAGTCAAAATTCAAATTGTCACATTCATAGTAGCACTTAAAGCTTAAAGAAAGTGGTGGGTCAAATACTGCTGACTTTTTACTTTTTTTGGCCATGGTATCATAAAACATGAGCGTTCCTTGCCACTTATCTTGAGCAAGCACAACACATACCATCTTGACTTTTAAAATATCCCCCCTGGAGATTTCTAATTAACAAGCCCAACCACACACACGAATGCAGTCGCTCCAGGGAGGTGGGGGTGTTAAACTTTACAGGTCTGTGTGGGTGTGTGTGGTGGAAGTCCTCTGCTTATTCTCACTCTGTCGTTTTAATAACATGTAAGTTGTAAAAAGGTTCATGGTTTGGGGAATATGTAAATGTAAGGGACTTTACGGCTTAACAGTCATTCTAGTTTTGCTTAAGGACCAGCTTGGTTCCAGTGTATACATTTTTTTTTTACTGTTTCCTGAATCCAGCCTCATGTGTTTTAGCTGGCCGCCAGGGGCAATTTGGTTACAACTTAAGAGGTAGCGTGCCAAGTGGACCGGGAAAAAATACTGAAGGTTCAACATTTTCCTCATCATCATCATCACCATCAATGTCATCATTACTCACCCTTTTGAACATGACAGGAGCATTGATTGCCTTGGCAACAGTCATGCCCAGATGCCCTCTTCATCATCCTAAGTCGAACAAAAAAACTGTGTTAGTAAAGCACATGCCGTCAACGCGAGAAAAGCATAATAGAATATACACATGCTGTAGCTCAATTCATCAAGATTTTAGAAGTTTGTCTGTACATATTCCTTAGTATTCCACTGTGGGTATTTGAGTGTGGCTATTTGTACGTGTCAGAAAAAGAGAAATGATCAGAAGATTAATGTGATAAATCTGACATATATCATCATTAATACCACTGCTAGATGATCTGAACCAAAAAAGGTTTGCACAGTTTTATTAGAAGGAAGTGAAAGGTAGGAAGCCAGACTAAGTGAACAGAGCCAATAATCATTAATTCATTTCAAAGTTTTCAATTACTTTATAGCTAAATCACTGTGGATTGATATGAATATTTTTTTTTAATTTGTTTTATTTGGTTCGTTACACTTGCTAAAATCTGCCTTAGACGTTTGTTTCGTATCTTTTGCATACAAAGCCAGACTTAACTATGGGGATTTTTTTCAGATGCATTGTAATCTGTAATGTCCACGTACATGCACTTCTGTGCAAATCACTAAGCTGTAAGTAACAAGTAAGTCTCAAGTCTTGACACATGACCAGTGAATCAAGTCCAACATCAATAAAGGAAAGCCTCATGGCAAGTCCAGAGTCCTAAACTTGAAATCCTAAACAAGTCAGTATGCATTCGTCAGCAAATTTAATGCCATTTCAACGTTGGACACCAAAAATTATGGCAACAGTATTACAACCTTTTACAGACAGCATGTTAATAATGTATGGTTATACACTAAGTTTTTTTTTATTATTATTACGCTTTAATATGAAGTACAAAATCTATGGAATACAGATAACCATGATGGTATACACAAAGTAAAATGTGCAGCACCATCTAAGGTGGAGCAGAAACTTTGAATATCAAGCTGACAAACACAACGTCAACTTCAGCCTTATAGAGAATGTTGTGCATGTTTAACAGCAGAAGCCATTAAAATCATTCAAATAGAGAGAATGCTGTTTCTTTTGTTTAAGTACTGTGAGGAAAATGGGAAGTTTGCATGGTAAGTTCCTCCAGTAAGAATGGAGTTTAAGTGCTGAGTGAAGGCATATCGATGCTAGTGATGCTTTGCTCGTTTCTAGCTTATGGAGGCGAAGTTGAATTCTCATGCTTCACTTTTCTTCCAATATGAATTAAGCCAAGCAAAAGAATAGCAACAGACACTTGACAACATTGCTGTACATCACATTTAAGATTTGATACAGTTCTGGCATGCCTACACCAGAAAACGAATCCATTTACATGAAAAGTAACCAACCACTCTGTGTCTTGAGTTCTTTCAAGTCATGAGGCTCAAGTCCAAATCAAAGTCTGAGTCATTGGTGTTCAAGCCAAAGTTGAATCTCAAGTCACTAAATTTGTGACTTGGGTCTGACTTGAGTCCAAGACTCCACACCTCTGGCGTTTTTATCATTCAGACAGAAAAACCAAGTTTTGTTTTTCCAGCTAAATTTTAATTAGCAATTAGCTAATTAGCTTTTCAGAGCAAGATATATTTTCATACATGTTCACAATCACCTTCCCCTCCACAATGAGTCAACCGGTCGTTTGGCAATTCTGTCAAATGGCTTCTTCCTGACAAGGCAGGTGGTTCCTGGCCATGTTTTGTGGTAAAAAATACCAGACTCTTTGCTGATGGGCAGTAGTCTGGCTTGTGAGAATATATACTAACTGGCCATTTTATTAGAAACCACTGACTTCTGGCCCACCTTGCTGCTGTCACACATAATTTATGTTAGCCATCTTCTAGCCATTCATCAGTGGTGAGTTTTTGACCACAGAACTGTTTTGGTGGTGGGACATTTTTGGGAGAAAGACCTCTTCCAAGCTCTCAGTAATACTGATGTGTGTAATAACCATAGAAATAATGCTGCACCTGATACACTGTGATGCCAAGGGTACCAATAATGAATGTGGTAGAGCACACGTCAGACTCTAGTCCTCCTGGGCCAAAACACTACAGGCTTCAGCACGGTGCCTCATTAAACACACCTGATTCAACTCATCAGATAATTAACAAGGACTTCATAAATTGAATTCAGAGCGTTAGATGAGGGTACACACTAATCTCCACAGCACTTTGACCTGGAAGTTTCCCAGTTTGACATGCCTGTGGTAGAGGGCAGCTGAATAGAAGACAAACTATGCAAGACAAAAGATGGGATGAAGTGTGTCATTGTGCACCTACTGTGCAAAAGTTAGAGACTACTCAACATATTTCGGCTACAGTCAAAACAACCATTATGTAAAAAGTGTTTATTTTTCAGAAGATATTTCTGAGATGATTAGAAATAGGATAATCCACTTGCATAAAGAAGGGGAAAGTCAAGTTAAAAAAATAAGTGAAGTAAAAATGGTGTCATAAACTATAGTTAAACAATTATTTAAAAATATAGAGAAACTATGATTCCTAACAACCCTCCCTGATCTGGCAGACCACGGAAACTGTCACCATCAGATAAACAGTACTTAAAACTGCTCTATTATTGCTTCATACATGAAAAAATCCACAGGTGTTTCTGTCCATCCTTCCACTGTGCAAAGACAACCATATGAGTCTATGCTATGGGTCTGAAAGGATGCGAAATTGTCAAGAAGCAAACAGACCAAAAAAAAGGAAATTTCCAAATCAAACAAAAAAGCTGCTGGTGTCCTTAGAACCAAGGTCTGGTCAACCCATAGTCCAGACATCAACATCACTCAATGGGTTTGGAATTACTTGGATTGACATGTCGGAGAAGACACAATGAGACTGAGCTTTGGAGGAAAATTCTTTGCAGATTCACTGTAAAACTGAAAAGGCCATCTCCTGAAAAGAATGGAGGCAATGATAAAAGCAAAAAATGGACACACTACACTGTAAAATAAACAATTAAACAAACAAAAAACATTGTTTTAACCTAAATAAGTTACTACAGTGCCCTCCACAAATATTGGCAACACTGGTAATCATGAGCAAAACGAGCTATAAAAATTATTTGTATTCTTTTTGATCTTTCAGTCAAAATATTAGTAACAATCTAACCTTTATTTAAGGTATACTGATTGAAAGAAAAAACTAAATGTTGTCATGAAAAAAAATATTTTACTTAAATCTATGTGTGCCACAATTATTGGCACCCCTACACATTTTTAAGAGTGAAATCTGCTTGAAGTATATTCTCTTTCATATTTTATGTTTTAAGATCACCAGAGTTATTAGGAACACTTAAATGGTCAGCCATGACCATGAATTCACTATATGAGATGAAACACAGGCCAAATGCCCTCAGGCATCCATGACTATGAGAAAGACCAGAAAATACAGCAATGATGGAAGATAAAAGGTTGCTGAGCTACACAAATCAGGAAATGGCTACAAGAAAATAGCTGAACAGTTGAAAATGCCAATTTCCACTATCAGATCAATAATGAAGAAGCATAAACCAACTGGAAATGTTAAGAATCTGGGTCACAACCTCTCCCAAACCATAAACAGACACTTCTTATATAACCACAAATTATTTGGGGGTCACCAGAAGAAAGCCTCTGCTGTCAAGGACCAACTCAAGCCCTGACAGTTCGCCAAACATTACCGGACCTTTCAGTGGGACAGTGTTCAGTGGTCAGATGAGACCAACATAGAGGTTTTTGGCAACAAACAGCAGAGGTGAGTCTGGCATGGACATAAAGATAGCTATGCAGAAAAGTACCCCATCCCCAGTGTGAAGCATGGTGGTGGATCTGTGATACTGTGGGGCTGTTTTTCATCCAAAGGCACAGTACCAGCAGAAATAAAATCAAGATTTGACTGCTTCAGCCGGGAAGCTTAACTGGGCCACAGTTTGGATCTTACAGCAGGACACACCCCAAAATCAACAAAAAAAAGTTCTTTCAATCAAAAAAGTTTTTTCGATCATTGTACATCAAATAAAAGTTAGATTTGTGTTAATATTTTGAATGAAAGATCATAAGGATAAGTAATAAAGAATATTTTTTACAGCTGTTTTGCTTATGTTTACCAGGGGTGCCATTATTTGTGGAGGGTACCTTAAAGTGCATGTAAGTACAAGGCAAGTTTGTCTAATAAAGCGAGCGTATTTATGTATAATCCATACTGTCAAATACTAATAACACTTTCATCTCAACACGACATTTAAACATAATACGCAGTTTGCCTACTACAATACTACACTACTACATTGTAATTCAACTGCCTTACTAATGTGTTTGGGGAAAATAAAAGCTGAGCACTGTGTGTAATGCTCTGACTTTTGGTTTTATAACTAATGTAAAAAAATACAATATTAGTTTCACAAACCTGAGACTTAGTTATGCATCAAAAGTGTCAAAATCAGGAAATTAAAAGTTTGCTTTAAACACAGCCTCATGGTTTTACCTGCACTAATGTGAAGATGGGTATTATGTACAAATCCATTATGCGCTGGCAGTTTTTAAATCATTTGGCATCTGAGATGTTGTTGAAGCTGCACTATCCATCACTAACCTTATTGTTGTCATTAGGGGATTGGTGTCATAATGGATTAGCCTTGCTGACAGTGAGCAAAGTCTGAGTGTTCACTATAGCAGTTCAGTTCAATGAGGCAATCTGCTCAGCACATAAATCACGACTGATTCATGTCAACCATTAGCTGACAGACATGCTTAAAAGACTGGTCTGGTTGCGAGCAAGTTGTGTCCTAATATGTATGTAATCTGTGCATGCAGTCATGTCTATGGAAAAAGTCATTTTAGGTCTTTCTATTTATGGTTGTAGATATTGATATTTAAAGAGTTTTAAAGAGATTTAAAGAGTACTGGCAGAATATGCAAGTGAGTTTGTATTTTATTGTGCATGTTCACGTCAAGTTGTGTGTGTGTGTGTGTCTGCAATGTTTGTGTGAGAGAAAATGTGTTTGTAATGGCTATGTGAGAATCTTTCCATCCAATATCTTTGGCCAAGCAGTG